CCCCCCGCCTGCCCCATCCTGCCCCCACCTTCCCCGGCTCCCCCCGAGCCTGGCGCACAGGAAATGAAACTGCTTGCTGGGCCCAGAGCAGCGCTGGCAGCGTGGCCCTAGGAGCCTGCCGTCGGTTTATGCACTTATTTATATGTTTCCATCCAGAACGGGGCGTGGGGGGGATGGACGGCCAGGCTTGGGCCCAGCTCCACCCAGAAACCCCACACAGTGGAGGCCTGGGGGAGGTCTGGGTGGGCCCCTCGCTGCCCGAGGCCCTCCCTGCAGGGTGAGTGAGCGAGGTGGGGAGAGGCAGAGAGTGGGAGGTGGGCGGGTGATGCTCTTTCTCCTGAGGAATGAAATGGTTTCTGGAAAACGCTGGTCCCCTGAGCTGGCTCAGGGCCTCAGGTTTGGGAGGCAGCATTGGGCGATGGCTTCCAGATGGGGAAGGCAGCCCGCAGCCAGCGAGGAGGAGAAAGAGAGGGAGGGAGGGGGGAAGGGATGTCCCCAGACAGACCTCGCAGCCTCCGGGCAGGCAGGAGGGGACACGGGCAACAAGGGCAGGGGGCTGGAGACCGAGCCCGTGCCCGCGTCTGGGGGCTGCTGGGGTGGCCCCAGCTCTCCCGCACACCTTGTGCTTAGCTACCCCTGGCCCGGGCTGTTTCTTCATCACTGCTGGTCCTGGCCAGCGTCTGTGGGTCCTTCTGCATCCACGGGTGACCCTTCCTCCATTGGGCATCCATTCTGGTGGTGTCACCCTGAGCGAGGCCCCTGGGCTGGGACAGAGCAGCCAAGCCCGGCCACACACCTCATGACTCTGCTCTGGGCAGAGGCACCGTCACAAAGCCTGCGGGCTGGGAAGGGGGCGATGCAGAGGGGCTGGACGGTCACACCAGGGCCTCTCGACACCAGGTGGAGTGGTGTGGACAGTGGCAGGGTTGAGCCTCTGGAGCTCCAGGTGGAGACTCAGCCAGAGCCCCAGGTCCTCGGGTCAGCCCAGAGGTGCAGATCAAACTGTGGGTGGGGGACATCCAGTCTGGGGTGACCCTCAAAAACTGTCCACAACATGGGGGCACACGTGCATTTTCAGGGGAGGGGTCTGTCATGTTCAGCTTCGGCAAGGGGGGCTCCCAAAAGCTCGGGATCCCTGAGTGACAGAAGGAAGGGCAAGCGGGGGCTGGAGAACGGTAGATATTCCTGCCAAAGAACTGAGGGCAAGGGTGCAGGCGAGAGGGAGGGGACAGGGGTTGGCTGGGGCCACGAGGACCCTGGGGGCTCCCAAAAGCTCGGGATCCCTGAGTGACAGAAGGAAGGGCAAGCGGGGGCTGGAGAGCGGTAGATATTCCTGCCAAAGAACTGAGGGCAAGGGTGCAGGCGAGAGGGAGGGGACAGGGGTTGGCTGGGGCCACGAGGACCCGCACAGGAACACCGTCCTGGTGTGTCACACTGTCCCCAAGCTCCTGCAGTTGCAGTTGGAGTTAGCTCTGGAGGCATGTTTCAGACCCCCCGCCCCCTCTGTGTAGGGGACAGCCCTTACCCCTGCCTCGAAGACAGGAAGCTTCTTCCCCCAGAGGGGAGGCTCTGCCTGTCCCCCCAGCTCGATATTCCTCCTGGGAGCAGAATGGCTGGCCCTCAGGAGCCAAAAGCGGGGAATAGGGGGAGAATTCCTGAAAAGGGCCAGAAGAAAGGATGAGAAAGGGGCCCTAGAGGCCGTGTTCCTGCCACCCATGGTCTCGCCCCTGCCCACGGTCTCCTGCTCAGGCAGTGGGCAGCGGGCCTCAGCCCCATGCCCAGGCCATAGGCTCGACCACACCTGACCCAGCCTTCCTCCTCGCCCAGGGCTTCCTGTGCTTTGCCCTGGTGTTCTGTGTCCTGGTGCAGGTGGCCTTCCGGAGATTCTACAACCCCACACAGGTGAGTGCCAGCCGCCCCCATCCTACAGTGCAAGGTCCCCAGCAAGTGGGCACAGGGCAGGAGGACAAGGGAGCAGGGACTGGGAAAGTCAACCCTCAGCTCCCTGCTGTGCAGGCAGGTGGGGACCTCCTGGGTGTGGGGTGGCAGGGTGCTGAGGGGCCAGAGGGCTGGGTGGTGGGCAAGGGGTCTTCTCCAGGGTTTGGGTGGCAGCTCCCTGGGGAAGGAGGGGGAGACCTGGACCCAACCCCCCTTAGCCCATCTCCTCTTGGGCCCCGAAGATGCCCCTGGGGAGTCAAGGGAGGGAAGAGGGAGAGGGGGAGGGATCGGTTGGAGGGGGCAGAGTGTTCTGGAAAATGCACAAAGAAGGGTCAAGCTTTCCTGACTGAGGCCTGCAGTGTGGGGAAGGAGCCGGGAGGACTGAGTGGGTGCGGGTCCCAGCCTCACTCCCAGGAGGACAGTCCTTCTGTCCAGGAGATGGGGCTGCCCAGGTGACCTGGGGGCAGGGGAAAGCCAGCAGCTTGGTGTGGGGGGAAGGCCCCCCATCCCCAGCAGTGGACGAGACCCTGGCAGCAGGGCTCAGCCCTGGCCTTTGCCGCTGGGAGCCCAGGCCCAGGCGAGGCCCCCCAGGCAGGCTGGGGAGCTCCAGGCCAGCCAGGTGGACCACACAGAGGAGCAGGAGAGTCTCAGTCCCGCAGGCTCCTGTCCACTCCAACTCCCTGTGACCTTGAGCAATCCCTCTCCTCTCTGCTGGGCCTCAGTTTCCCCATGTGCTCTGTAAGGACCAGTCAGGAAGCCAAGGCTCCCCAAACACAGCAATGGCCAGGCTAGATGCAGCGGCTTACAGATGGCGGCTGGGTCAGGAGGCTGGGCCTGGTCCTCCGGGCAGAGCTCGTGCTGGGTGCTTTCTGCACCAATGTCCTGGCAGTACCAGGTCTGGAGAGGGCTCCAGGCTCAGACTCTTCTCCCTTCCCTACCCAGGGGTAGCCTCAAAGTGCCCACCCACCCCAGCCTCACTCGGGGTCAGCCACCTGAGACCAATTGGGAAAACACCATTTCCTCTGGCCCAGGAGGATGTTGGAGGAGGTCCAGCCGCTGCGACACAGCTGTGGTTGCGGGAGCTTGTCCAGCAGTCTTTTCGGGGTAGAGGCGGGCCCGGCTGGTGTTTTGTCCTCACATTTCCTGTCCACGGAAGAGTGGTCTGGCCCATTCCAGGCCTGTGTCACACCGCGGGTGGCTGTGGTACTGACAACTTCCAGGGTTCCCCATCGTCTGTGTGCTGAAGCTGTGTGTTTACAGCGCTGAGCCCAGACTCGCAGTTCTGGAGAGGAGGGGGCACGCAGGGGCACAGGACAGAACCCAGCTGGGGCCTGCTCTCCAGAAGGGAAGGGAGTGAGAAGACGGACGCTGTTTGCCCAGGCCTCTCCTCTGGCCCGTGCCAGCCCCATGCACCACCCCACACAAATGGTCCTCATCTGGCCCGTGCTCCCACCCAGACTTCGGGGGTCCGTTCTCAGGGTGCTGCAGAGGCCGGGAGCCCCATCTGCCCCTCCCGGTGGGTTTTGACATCCGTGTGGACCGTATGTGTGTCCAGGCCTGGTGGGCACAAGGTAGCTTGGGCAAAGGAGATCTGGATTGGAAGGCAGGGTCCACAGGGCGCCCTGGGGTAAAGCATCGAACCTTCCTGGGCCTCGGTTTCCTCGTCTGTGAAAGGAGCATCCAGATCCCTGCCCGAGGCGGCTGCTGTGTGCTGGGGCTGGGCTGGTGCTTGTGGAGGGCTCGTCGGACTGGCCTATGACCCCCGAGCCCGCCTTGCCCCCGGACTAGCTCGGGGCTGTCCCGAGCTTGGATGAGACGGTGTTTGGTACCAAGGCCAAGGGTCCCGAGCAGGAGGGGCACAGCGAGTGTCCCATCCATGCCCTCCTGGGCACATGAGCCGGTGCCCTGCCGGAGAGGGGCCCTGCTGCAGCACCGCCAGGGAAAACGGCCAGAGGGCCCAAGCCGCTCGTGCTGGCAAAGCTGGGGTGAGGGCTGGGACCAGCGCCTGGAACCCAGCCAGGCCCCTTCACCCCATTTCTCCCCTGCACCTCCCCTGAGGGACCCCCAATATACCCTGAAACACAGGGGTCAAGACGCGTCATTGGGGCACCCCTACAAGATGAAAGACACCGGCCACCTTCCCTCAGCTGTCCCCCATGTCCCTTGAGGCCACAGACCCTAGCCCGGGGGTGAAGGTGGGTGCCCCTTCCCGGCCCAGCCCCCAGAGAGCCCCTGCTCACTGGGTTTCTCAGCTGCCACTTCCCAGGGATGCTGGGCCTTGGCAGGGGCCCCGAGCTGGCGAGGACGCCACTGTGAGGACCAGGCCTCCGTGGGATGAATACAGAGCTCCAGGGCTATTAATTACGCTCTAGCCACGGCCGGAAAGCCACTTTGCCGCAGCCCTGCCCGGTCCCCAGGTGACTCTGCATCGGGGAAAATGGATTGCTCGGCTCCCTTAATCAGTCAGGCTCAGGGTGAGCACAGCAGGCTGGCTCCCGGCCCTGAGGCCACTGCCCCGCGACTTCCTGGCCGCCGTGTGGGCTCAGGCCAGAGCCAGGTCGGCCCCGGGGCCTGGTCCACAGACCACCTGCAGCTCCCCCCCACGGGGCCCATCTGTGCTGTCCTGAGCCAGCAGGGTTAGTCCCCAAGCGCAGGCAGATATCCGGGATGATCTGGTCTTGGTGATAAGCCCTGGTGGGGATTCCCTGGACACTGGGCCTCAGTCTGTGCAGACTCTGAGCAGTGCACTGTCTCATGGACGTGAGCTCAGCAGCCCAGGACCCCGTCGCCAGCCCTGCTGCCCCGACCCCGGGGCGGTGGAAGGGGAGGCCTAGCGCCCAGTGCCTGGCAGCAGTGCCTGGCCCACCCCTGCCTCCTCATGAACACGGACCTCAGGCTCCTACAGAGTCCCCTGAGCTCAGCGGTGGGGGCAGACGGTGACGCACCACCTAGGAGCCCTGACCCTGCGGGGCGAGTCCAGTCTGGCCCCCCACAACCTGGCTGTGGGTGCAGGGCAGGGGTCTGGTTTTGCTGAGCTCTGCTTTCTCAGTCACGGGGGAGACTCTCAGCAGAGCCTGGCACAACAAGCCTCTCGGCTGCCAGTGGGTTGTTGCTCCTGCTAATACGACAGCAGCGCTAATGCCACAGCAGCACTTGTCACACAGCCCCAGGCACTCAGGTCTTCCATGGGCCGTGGCAGGGGGCTGGCGGGGAGACAAAGCTGTCAGAGTTGGGGGGGTGGGACCTCCTTGCCAAGGCCGCCTGCTCCTCTAGGCCCCAGCCCTCGCCAGGACCCCAACTCGACCCATTTCACAGGGAGCGAAGCAGAGGCCGACGGCGGGCCCGGCCCTGCCGACCCGTGGCCATGGCCAGCTTGACTCCTGCCCCCCAGCACGCCGCCCACCTCCCTCCAGGTGGTGAGGACAAAGGCTGGCTGCATTTGGGATGACTCACGGAGGGAGCCTGACGTGTGTTAGCCATCAGTGGGAGGGATTAATTAGGGCCAGGAGCAGTGCTTGGACTAGAAAGTCCCTCTGGCTCCTGTGGGGCATCTGGGCTTGGACAGGGCTGGCGGAGGGAGCCCACTGCCTGCCTGCAGCCAGCCCACCCAAATCCTCCGGGCTGCTGGCGGGGCCTGCGCGGGGGCCTGGGACCAGTGCAATGGAGAGCTGTGGAGAGGCCGCCCTTCCCTTCTGGAGGGCAGGTGCAAGTGGCCAGAGCAGGCATGGGTCCTCCTTCACCCCCCAGCCCTTTGGGGCAGTCCATGAGTACCCCTCAGTGTGTCCCAGCTGTCGTCATGACATGGGGGGACGGAAGGAGAGGAGGAAGCACTCAGGGTCTCCAAGGCAGGAAGGAGGCAGCAGAGGTCAGGGGAGCTCAAAGACGGCCTCGTCCTGAGCTGGGAGACCAGCGACCCCTGGAGCAGGCAGGGAAGCCTTCCTGGGGGAGGCGAGATTTAAGTTGCTCCCTGAAGGGATAAGTTGGCAAGGGGAGGGCATTCTGGGTGGGGGTGGGGGCGGCACAAGCAAAGGCACAAAAGGGGGTGCTTAGAGGCCGAGGCAACAAGGTCCGAGGGACGCTGGGGTGCTCAGCAAAGGCAGAGTCCGGCTGGGCCCCTGTCTCCGTCCTCCTCTCCATCTCCTGTCCCCAAGTGGCCTCGTCTGCCTAGACCTGACCCCAGGTGCACACACCTCCCCCGATCAAAGGCCTTACCTGGAGCCCACTGCCCAGGCTTTGGTGGTTGATTCTGGGGAAAAATCTGGAAGCATCTTTGGGGGAGCTAAGGACTCCCCCAAGGCTTCTCTACCAGGCCCAGCCCACACCCCACCCCACAAGACCACAGCAGTAGTGGGCAGCAGAGCTTATCTCTGCTCTATCCTGCAGGGCCCTCCAGGGGAGCAGGAGGCCATGCTGACACCATCATTGGGAGAGAGGGTGACCTGCCACCCAGGGGACCCGGGCTCTACCCTCGGGGAGCTCCACCTGGTGCAAAGAGGAGGGACCTTTGGGACATCACTGCACATGCTGGGGCCACACCCCTGCTTTGGGAGCTCCGTCGCAGAGAAGGGGCTTCACTGGGTCTCCCACCAGGATGCTCTCGTGCAGGTGGAGGACGCCGTGCTGGACACCTACGATCTGGTGTATGACCAGGCTGTGAAGAGCTCATCCAGCGTCTGGCGGCAGGAGCTGGAGGCTATCCAGGACACGGTGAGCATGCGGAGGGCCTGCCCCTCACTGATGGTGGGGCAGCGGGGCGGTCGGCCTCACTGTGACGACTACAATCCAGAGAACGGGCACAGGACAGCCCCAGAGTCAGCCAACCTGGGCCAGTGGCCGAGCGGGAGCGGGGAGCAGGCCGCAGGGCAAAGAGCTCCTGTGCTTTTCCCTCTGACCAGGAAAGGGCCTGCTACCGAATTTTCAGACCCAGTGCAAAATGAAAAGGCAGGGCCCGTTGTTCAAAAATGATTAAGAATTTGAAGCGGTGATGACAGCGTTAAAGCGAGCACATGAGCCCCTTCTAGGCCCAAGAAGCCGGCCCTGGCAGGAAGGCCAGTGCTGCCGTCCGTCACCAGGGCCCAGGCTGCCCGGGGGCTGGGGCCTCCAGCAAAAGCAGCCGCAACACCCTGAGTTCCTGGGGCCCCAGTTCTGCCAGACCCCGCCCAGGTCATTTGCCTTTGTGATGCCTCAGTTTCCCCACCTGTCCCGCCCACCTACTGGGGCTTTGAGTGAAAACCTCGGCTCCCTCCCTTCTGTTCCTGCAGTTTCTGTGCTGTGGGAAGAGGTCTCCTTTCAGCCTTCTGGGCAGCGCAGAAGCTGACCTGTGTCACGGAGAGGAGGCTGCCAGAGAGGTGAGGAGGAGGAGGGGACCGGGACGCTGGCCAGGCAAGACACTCGGGGGCCAGACACCCTGCAGCTCAACCACAAGACCCAGAACATTCTCCACCCCTTGGCCTCCCCCAGACCCTGGGACCTGCCTGCCGAATGGCTCAGGGGCGGTTCCGATGTGATCCAAGGCAGCGGTGAGGGGTTTGCTGCACATGAAGCCCATGGCGTGGGCGGGCTGGGCCCTGAACACAGGCCCAGTCCCTTCCCCAAGCCAGCTCATCCAACCCTTCACCCCCGTGCAATCCCCAGCTAAGAGGTTCCCAAGACCAGTTGAGGCCTCGCCCTTGGAAGCCTCTAGAAGCGCACAGACAGGGTCTCCGGGCTGAGGGCCCACAGAGCAGGCGTGGTCAGCTCTATCTAGGGGCGAGGGGGCAGGCATCCTGAGGGGCCCCAGAAGGATTGGAAAGGGCAGTCCTTGGAAGAGAATTGGAGCAGGAGCATGGGCCAAGTCCAAGGTGTGGCCGCCAGCCTCAGGGAGGACAGGTGGGACAGGCAGGGGAGCCCTTCCTCCCCAAGGCCTGGAGAGGGACCCGCCTCCTGTCCTTTCTCTCCTGCTGCCCCAGCGGTCGGCCTCCCTGCCCCTCCCCCTGCTGTCCTGGAAACTAGCCCTCCCTCTCTGTGGCTAGAGGTGCCTGGCCACCCTCCAAGAACCGGGCGGGAGGATCGCCAATGGCTCGCTGGCCCAGCAGGGGTGGAGCCAGCACCGGGCCCGCTCTGAGGGCCGGAGGGGCCAGCATGCTGGGGAGGGCACCGGGGGGCCTGGTGGCACCCAGGGCAGGGACTAGGTGCCAGGGGGCCCTGACCTACCCAAGGAGAGTCCTCAGGTGCCCTGACCACAGAACTGGGATGAGGGCCAGCTTTGTGCACCCTGGGATGAAAAGGGCAACAGGCCCAACTGGACAGGCCTCTTGGGGGGCAGACGGCAGGGGCTGGCATAGGTGGTGGGCGTGGGGCTGGCCTAGGGGGACAGGCCAGGGCCAGAAGGAAGACCTCCCTGTAGGAGGGTCCTGGCTGGGATCTGCCCTGGCACCCTGTGCTTCCTCTCCCAGGTCAGAGCTCTCCTGCTGCCTGCCCCAAAATGCCAACATCCTGCCCCCAAGCCAAAGACCACCATCTTAGTGGTTCGGCAACGGGCCCATCACCTCCTCTTTTCTGGAGAACTTCTGTGGATGCCATGTCCTGGGGCAGCACTGGGAGCCCAGGATGGAGCAGGGAGCCCTGCACCCCTCTAGGCTGCTTCCCTGCCCCTCCCTGACAGCATTCTCTGGTCCCCCAAGTGCTGCTCACGGGGTACCATAAAGGGTCTGGGCTGGGTGCTGGGGACCCAGAGTGAGTCAGACCTAGACCTGCCCAGAGGAGGCAGATGGGGGCTCAACGCAGGAGCTCAGGGCAGCTGGTGAGCTGGGAAAAGGACACCCCCTGGGACTCCTGGGCAGCAGCCCCTCGGTCCCCACAGGGGCCAGCTCTGTCACACCTGTTTGTGACAGCTCTTCCCTAGAGCGCTGGGGTGGTCCCCCTGGGAATGCACTGCACCCCGTCTCCCCACTGCCCTAGCAGTGGCCTTGGTGGCCACTCACCCCAAACAGGGAGAATTGGGCGGCCTGGCAGGTGCCATGCACGCTGCCTTCTGCCCAGGACTGCCTGCAGGGCATCCGGAGCTTCCTGAGCACACACCAGAACATCGCCTCCACCCTGACCAGTGCCGGCCTGGTCCTCACGGTACCCCTTGCCCTCCCTTGCAACCCCTCCCTCAACTCCTCCCCCTCCACCTGCCTAGCCCCCCACCCAGATGGACAGGCAGGGCTGGGCAGCCCAGGTACAGCCCAGGCCAGCTCCGGTGTTGGGCATCGCCAGGTTCCCCTTGTCCAGGGGGCAGGCAGGAGCGGGCTGCTGACCCCAGGGAGTGGCCTAGGGGAGACAGTGGCTGCCTTGCTCCCTCCCCAAGACAACTGGAACCCTTCCCAACGCTGCAGAGTCCAGAGGTTTCTGAGGGAGGGGGCGGGGCACCCACCCCAGAGCTGCTGCAGGTCAGTGGCTGAGGCCTCTGGGTGCCCCTCGGGCCGCCTACCTCCCAGGTGTACGCGATGCTCCTCAGCTCCTTTCTCTGGTGTGCCATCCGCTCCGGCCGCAGCTTGGACCACAAAGGCCGATACACCCTGACTCCACGGTAAGCCCCAACCCGCCTGCCCCCCACCCTCTCCCCAGAGGCTCCTGCAGCCCCCAGGACGTGGCAGGGTGGCAGTCAGCTCCATTGCCAGCTGAGAGCACCTGCAGCTTCCCACACCAGAGGTATCTGCCTCTGCCCAGCAGGCAGGCCCTGGGCCAAGGGGAGGTTGGCACTCCAGAGGAGCCACCGTGGGAGTGTCTGGCCACACTGGGGGAGGAGCAGCTGGGAAGTGGCCAGCCCAGCATGCACCCCACTCTGTGGCCCACACTGAGATCCCCTCTTCTCACCCCCAATCCCTGCCAAGACCTGGCTCACAAATGCCACTCCCCCAACACCAACAGGGAGGGTAGGATGCTTCTGGGGCCCCCACATGACAGCCCCAGGCCAGGATCTCTGGTCTTGGGTAAGCCCAGGGCTGCCCACGCACAAGGTGCAGGAAGACCCAGACCAGCAGCTGGAAGCCCCTCCTACACCCACGGCACTCGAGCTGTCCCTCCGGCCATCTCTCCTCTTGCCACCAGCTTGCTCTGCCCTGGCCGTCAGGGTCCCTCCCTGCCCAGGTATCCTGCCTGGCTCCTCTGCATTCTGGTCCAGCCTCACGGTCCCCTCTAGGATGCCCTGACCCAGCCTTGTAGTCCCTTCTAGAAGGTTCTGGCCGAGCCTCATGATCCCCTCTGATCCTCAGGGTGCATGGCTGCCAGCCCCAGGAGCCCAGCCTCTTCAGACGTCTCCCGGGTGGACTCACACTTCGACATCCCTCTGAAGCAGACACTCCTGGTGACCGTCTGGGTCCAAGAGGATGCTCAGATGGCCCCCGGCGGCTCCAGGACAACTGACACTCGCTTCCAGCACCTGTCCAGCTGCCTGTCTGCCCACAGAGGCAAAGACTCTCAGGCCATCAGCCGTCAACGTGCTCCTTAGGGGAGGATCAGACATCGTGGTGGGATGGGGACAGGGAGAAGGCCGAACCACATCGACAGGCCCCATGTAAGCGAGTGGAGGGGCAGGGGCTGGGGGAGACCGGAGCAGCTCCAGCAAATAGCAGCACGCTGGTCAGGACGCGCCTCCAACACGTGGACACTCGCCACACTCGGCTTCCACGCTGCATAACAGAGCACAAGCCGAGAGGCTTCAAGTGACACCCGGTTATCATCGTGCAGACCCTGGGGCAGCAGTCCGGGGAGCTCAGCTGTGCCCTGCTCAGCGTCTCACAGGCTGACATCAGTGGTCAGCCAGACTGGGCTCTGCTCTGGAGGTTTTGGGGAAGAATCCACTTCCTGTCTCATCCAGGGTGTTGCAGAACCCAGTTCCTGTGGTTGCAGGACCGAGGTCCCCACATCCTCGTTCCTGCTCCAGTGGCCCTTCTACCTTCAACCAGAAGTGGCATGTTGAGTTTTGTTGTGCTTGGAGTTTCTCTGACTTCACCTTCTTCTACCAGCTGGAAAAGGGCTCTGCTTTTAAAAGCTCCTAATCACCCACCCAAATAATCTCTCTATCTAAAAGAGAAACTTTATTTTTCATTGTGTTAAAATACACGTAATGTCAAATTGACCATCTTGACCATCTTTAAGTGCACAGCTCAGTGGCATTAAGCATATTCACACCATTGTGCAGCCATCGCCACCATCATCTCCACAACTTTCTCATTTTCCCAAACTGAAAACTCTGTCCCCATCATCACCAGCTCCCCAGCCCCAGCACCCACCACTCTACTTCCTGTGTCCATGAATCTGATGACTCTAGGGACCTCATGTAAGTGGAATCATACAGTCTTTGTCCTTCTGTGACGGGCTTGCTTCACTCAGCATGATGTCCTCAAGGTCCATCCGTGTTGCAATGTGTCAGGATGTCTGAAGGAGGAAACATATTTACTGTGATCTCACAGTCACATGTTCCAGGGGTTGAGGCAGGACATTTCTGGGGTAAGGGGTTTTTAGAAAGGCTATCTCCCACAACTGCTCTCACTGGACATTCAAACCACCTCTATGGTGAATTCTCTCTAATTGTCCCTGAATATTTGCATAATTTCCTCTCAACCCTAACCCCTGGGTGGAACACCAAGCCGGCTCAGCCTAGGCTCAGCCCCATTGTAGCTGGCCAGACGGACGGACGGGGTGTTGGGCCTTGTAACTTCCACAGAGGAGGCGGGGCCCTGCCTCCCACCAAGACCAGCAAAGGAGACTCTCCCCAGGTAAGAAGTGTCCTATGACAGGCAGCCAAAACCGACACAGGCCTGCTACAGCCCACCTCTTGTCTTTCCAACAACACACATCTTCCCACACACACACGTGCAAAAGCAAGAAAGTGCTCACCTGATACAGAGCAGCCCACAGCTGAAAACGCACAGCCGTGTCCCCAAAGGAAGATGCCCGAGTCTCCTGGGCTCTGCAGCCAGGGTCTCTGGTGGTGGCATTTCTCCTCTGGCTTCATTCTTTGTCATCGCACTCTTCTGCAGCCTGAGGGGTCAACACTGAAGAAGGCACCGACGACGTAGCTAACACGCGATGGTGGTCGAAAGAGAAGGAGAAGGTGAGTTAACTTCTGGAGAAGTTTATACAGCACAAGAAGAAAAGACACTTCAACAGCTACAGAAAGCTCATTTCTGCAGCTCCTCACGAGGCCATAGTTGTTCGTGGCTGGCGCTCATGGCCGGCGCTCGTGGCTGTTGCTTGTGGCTGGTGCTCGTGGCTGTTGCTCGTGGCCGGCACTCGTGGCTGTTGCTCGTGGCCGGCACTCGTGGCTCTTGCTTGTGGCCGGCACTCGTGGCTCTTGCTTGTGGCCGG